AGTTTAGTTTAGTTTAGTTTAGTTTTTAGTTTAGTTTAGTTTAGTTTAGTTTAGTTTAGTTTAGTTTAGTTTAGTTTTAGTTTAGTTTTAGTTTAGTTTTAGTTTAGTTTAGTTTAGTTTAGTTTTAGTTTTAGTTTAGTTTAGTTTAGTTTTAGTTTAGTTTAGTTTAGTTTTTTAGTTTTTTTAGTTTAGTTTAGTTTAGTTTAGTTTAGTTTTAGTTTAGTTTAGTTTAGTTTTTTTAGTTTAGTTTAGTTTAGTTTTAGTTTTAGTTTTAGTTTTAGTTTAGTTTTAGTTTTTTTAGTTTAGTTTAGTTTTAGTTTAGTTTAGTTTAGTTTTTAGTTTTAGTTTAGTTTAGTTTAGTTTAGTTTTAGTTTAGTTTAGTTTAGTTTAGTTTAGTTTAGTTTAGTTTAGTAGTTTAGTTTAGTTTAGTTTAGTTTAGTTTTAGTTTAGTTTAGTTTTTAGTTTTAGTTTTAGTTTAGTTTAGTTTAGTTTAGTTAAGTTTAGTTTAGTTTTAGTTTAGTTTTAGTTTAGTTTTATTTGTCAGACTGTGAGCCACAGAACTACACTTTTACCCTGTGACTCTTTCTCCGGAACAGCAGGGGGCGGTGTTGATCTTTTTGAGACGCTGCAACCGCCGAAAAACAAGAGGAAGAAGAAGCAGGCGGTGTCCTCCGGAGCAGCAGGGGGCGCCTCTGCGCTCACGGACAGACGTGACCGTAAAACACGGAGGTGTGTGTCCCGCAGGACGCAGCTTCACCGCGTTTACCGCGTTTATTCCCGCAGCAGGAGTCCGGGACGGGAAAGACCCGCCTGGTTCGGCTGCGGTGGGACCGGGTCAGCAGGAGCCGGGCCCGCAGTCCTCGGTACCGCTGCGGGGAGCACCGAGGCCCGCACACCTCCGCATCGTACACGCACGGGAGCATCGTACACGCACGGGAGCATCGTACACCCGCTGCGGAGGTTTGTGGACACACGAAGGAGGGTCCGTGGTGGGTCCGTGGTTCTGGTGGGTCCATGGTTCTGGAGGGTCCATGGTTCCGTGGTGGGTCCGTGGTTCTGGAGGGTCCATGGTGGGTCCGTGGTTCTGGAGGGTCCGTGGTTCTGGTGGGTCCGTGGTTCTGGAAGGTCCGGTGGTTCTGGTGGGTCTGTGGTTCTGGTGGGTCTGGTGGGTCCGTGGTTCTGGAGGGTCCATGGTGGGTCCGTGGTTCTGGAGGGTCCGTGGTTCTGGTGGGTCCGTGGTTCTGGAAGGTCTGTGGTTCTGGTGGGTCTGTGGTTCTGGTGGTCCGTGGTTCTGGAGGGTCCGTGGGTCCGTGGTTCTGGAGGGTCCAGGGTCCGGTGGGTCCGTGGGTTCTGGAGGGTCCGTGGTTCTGGTGGGTCCGTTGGTTCTGGAGGGTCCATGGTGGGTCCGTGGTTCTGGTGGGTCCATGGTGGGTCCGTGGTTCTGGAGGGTCCGTGGTTCTGGTGGGTCCGTGGTTCTGGTGGTCCGTGGTTCTGGAGGGTTCTGGAGGGTCCGTGGTTCTGGTCTGGTGGTCCGTGGTTCTGGAGGGTCCATGGTGGTCCGTGGTTCTGGAGGGTCCGTGGTTCTGGAGGGTCCAGGGTCCATGGTGGGTCCGTGGTTCTGGTCCGTCTGGAGGGTCCATGGTGGGTCCGTGGTTCTGGTGGGTCCGTGGTTCTGGAGGGTCCGTGGTTCTGGAGGGTCCGTGGTTCTGGAGGGTCCGTGGTTCTGGGGGTCCAGGGTCCATGGTGGGTCCGTGGTTCTGGAGGGTCCGTGGTTCTGGTGGGTCCGTGGTTCTGGAGGGTCCGGTGGTTCTGGTGGGTTCTGGTGGGTCCGTGGTTCTGGAGGGTCCATGGTGGGTCCGTGGTTCTGGAGGGTCCATGGTGGGTCCGGTGTGGATCCGGGTTCCGTGGTGGTCCGTGGTTCTGGAGGGTCCGTGGTGGTGTCCGTGGTTCTGGAGGGTCCGTCCGTGGTTCTGGAGGGTCCATGGTGGTGGGTCCGTGGTTCTGGAGGGTCCATGGTTCTGGTGGTCCGTGGTTCTGGAGGGGTCCGTGGTTCTGGAGGTCCGTGGTTCTGGAGGGTCCGTGGTTCTGGAGGGTCCGTGGTTCTGGAGGTCCGTGGTTCTGGTGGGGTCCGTGGTTCTGGAGGGTCCATGGTGGGTCCGTGGTTCTGGAGGGTCCGTGGTTCTGGTGGGTCCGTGGTTCTGGTTCTGGGTCCGTGGTTCTGGAGGGTCCGTGGTTCTGGTGGGGTCCGTGGTTCTGGTGGGTCCGTGGTTCTGGAGGGTCCATGTGGTCCGTGGTTCTGGAGGGTCCATGGTGGGTCCGTGGTTCTGGTTCCGTGGAGGGGTCCGTGGTTCTGGTCCGTGGTTCTGGTGGGTCCGTGGTTCTGGAGGGTCCATGGTGGGTCCTGGTGGGTTCTGGAGGGTCCGTGGTTCTGGAGGGTCCGTGGTGGTGGGTCCGTGGTTCTGGAGGGTCCATGGTGGGTCCGTGGTTCTGGAGGGTCCGT